ATGACCCAAAAGAAAGAAATCTTAAAGCGCCATGTCGCGCGATCTTGGTGACCAATTCACATCACTGTTTCGAGAGATGATGCGACCTGGGAACTTCACATTCAAATTCTGTTTGAACGTCCATTTTCGTAATAGTTTTCGATAAATTTAACACGTTAATCTTTCCATGGTTGACCTTTGCTAAATCTGAAAGAAAAAGAAAAAGATCTTTAGACGCTTAAACTTAATTCACATTTAAAATCGGCCCAAGTTATTGGAACATCCTTCATAACCTCTGCACTTACTTACCATACCGGAAATTTCCAAGCACCTCGCTCCCATCAAAATACTGTCCAAGTTTGACGCTTCTTAAATTCAGTGATTGAACCGGTGAGTTCAGCGTGATTTGACGGTAAGAATTAAAAAGAAAATGCTTGTATGTATATAAGCTAAAAGGAATTTAGCAAATATACGCTGTTGATAAATAGATTCAAGAAAAAGGATGCTAGGTATGCGATGAAACATCATGTCTCACGAGATCATTGCTATAGATGTCATGTCGATACCCAACGTCAATACAATTTTCGATTAACTTAAAGATTTTAAAAAAGAGTCTCAACGCTTAATATGTACCAATGTGTAATACATTCAGAATGCTAATATTTTCTTTGAAGATCCGAACATATTCGGCTTTGTGTTCATTATTGTAATAACAATAACGAAAGATATCTGAATGCTTTTATGCAAGTCAGTATGGTAGATTGTGTGGAAATTATCACCATAAAATATGGGTATAAAAAAATAACTCCGAATTGATGAAATTAATGAATAAGAAAATTCATTACTTCTTTAGAATTTACTTTACGTTAGGATGCGAAATAAACAAAATAATATGACCCCCCCCCCAAAAAAAAACAAGTAAAATATTAACCCAAACAAATAATAAACAAATTAACAAAGCCTCCCGTTAGAATAGACGAAATAATAAATAAAAATAAAATATAAATACATAAAAAACAAGTAAGAATAATTAACCCAAATAAATAAATAAATAATATTAAGCAAAATAGCAAAACAATCCCGCCAAAATAACCGTTAGAATAGGCCACAACAATCAACCCCAAAACTGGACGAAAAATCGCTATAACTGCTATATAACAATAAAAATGTTACTCAAAAATCGACAACCGAATAGAGTAAATAAAAATATACAAAATGAAAAATAAGTAAATAAATAAGAAAAAAAAAAGAGTAAAAATTTATCCAAATAAATAAATCAACAAATCGCTCCCACTAAAATAACCGTTATTTATTTGGATTGATTATTTTTTACTTGTTTTTGCTTATTTTACTCTTTTTTGTTTATTGTTAACAATAAACAAAAACAAGTAAAATAAGAAAACACAAGTAAAAATAATCAATCCAAATAAATAAATAAATAATAAACAAATTAAAAACTGTCCCCCATCAAAATAACAGAATAGGCTACGGCAATCAATTTAAAAATTAGACAAATAGTTTTAATTATCTTCGCAGACCAAAACAAACTATTAAATAAGTAACCCAGGCAAATCCCCACCCCATTCTTTACTATGTTAATAAAATATCGAAAACTGCAAAGAATAAATAAATATATAAATTAAAAAATGAAAATAAAAACAAATAAATTAACCCAAATAAATAAATAAATAAACAAGCCACTCCTGCCAAAATAACCGCCTGAATGGATTAGCAACGATGCACCACTGACCCATATACATAAATAGTCGAGTAAGAATCCAACACTCGCGGCCTGACGATTGCGTCTAGGATGAAACAGCCTGTCGCCATTCAGTGTTGACTTCAATGTTCATTTTTGTGTGTCTGTATATATATATATATATATATATATATATATATATATAGGTTGTATCAAGAATAATTTTACAAACTGTGGGACCTGGTTCCTCCCACCAAAACAAGCACAATGACGTGTGCTGAACGTCTCCGACAGCCTGTAAAATGTGTTCTTCGTAGTCAGACGTACTAGCGGGACACTTTTTCGATGTCCATAGTTTGTAGTGCCATGGATTCTGTCTCAGCAACGCAACGATAAACAGCAGCAGAGGTTGCATGATCCAGCTGTCTTTGGTCTGGAAAGGCAATCTGATACAGCCGTGCAGCCTCACGTCCATTACCATTCGCGCGGCCGTATGTAAAAATCATATCTGCCTGCTCACGATATAAATATTCTGGCAGTGTTAAACTGAACACTTATCAGTTAAGTCACTACTACACGCGTTAAACGTTAAAGACAGACTAGCCACAAGTATACACGAATGACTAATGTAACCTAGTCTTTATGACAATTCAGAGCCATCTAGCGTAACCTTTCTTTAAAGATAATAACTCAAAAAAGAAGGATTTGCGGACATAGGTTTATATTGATTTTTGTCCTTGTATTGGTTTGAGGAACCCACCACCAATGTTTGTAAAAGTATTTTTGATACACCCTGTATATATAACGGGTGCAGCAGAAATACCTCCCACATACACCTCTCACATATATATTACTTGAAAATATATTATAATGGACACTATAATAAAATTTGAGTCAATCAAAATGTCTAATTAAAATAATTCCATGAATTCTTCAGAAATATATGTGTGTGTATGAATGTGATTATGTCTTTCAGTTTATGTGCGTTTATGTCGATTATTTAGTATGTGTATGTGTTACCGTGTAATTCACCTTGTGTGTGTTTTGTGTGTGTGTGTTTGTGTGTGTGTGTGTGTCTGTAAAGTGATTTGTTTTGATTTTTGGCTTCGTTTAATCCGAAGAATATTTTGATGTAAATAACACTTCTTCGAAATATACTTACACACACACACACACACACACACACAAACACACACACAAAACACACATAAAAATACATATATATATATATATATATATATATATATATATATATATATATATATATATATTGTGACGGGTTATTATTGTGTTATCTGTTGTCAAAACCAACATTTTCAATCAGTGTCTCTTCATACGCTGCAGGACTTGTATGTTTTAAAATGAGTAATTCAGTCAATCAATTAATCGATGTATGTTAGTTCGAAATGATACTTGTGTATATTTCAACAAAGGATTAGCGACTTGGAATGAGAAGTCGGAGAGCCGAGTTCAAATTCCAGTCCAGTTGCTTACATACACTTACGCAGAAATACTCTTGGGAAAGGTAGGAATCCATTTTTTCTTCCGCCAGCTGTGGGTTGAATTAGCATTAGAGACTCCACACCTCCCTGGTCTCTGTAACTCTTAGAAATCTCTCCTATTCCAGGTTCTGTTAACCATTCGGATGTTAGGTACGTCGTGTGCTGTTTTCCTCTGTCACTCTTGCCTTCAGTATGCCATATGAGTGTCAAATACTTCCAGCCTTTTTCCCACATTATGTGCCCTAGGAATTTGTCTGTTCTTTCTGTTT